CTCTCCCATAAAATTCACCTCCGATGGGCCTCACTAATTTCCTGACTTCTACATGTACTCCAACTTAAGCCCAGCTATCTAAAGATTCAAAGCTGGCATCCATGTATGAGAGAGAGCATGAGGTTTTTGTCTTTCAGGGTCTGGATTACTTCATTCTGAATGGTTATTTCCAGCTCCATCTATTTACCTACAAATTTCCCAATTCCATTTTCTTTACAGCTGAGTAATATTCCATTGTGTATGTGTACCACATTTTCATTATTCATTCAGCAGCTGCTGGACACCTAGGCTATTTCCATTTCCTGGTTGTTGTGAATAGATCAGCAATAAACATGAATGGGAAGCATCTCCATATTAGGATAGAGCGTCCTTTGGAACAAGGCACAGGAATGGTATAAATGGGTCATAGGGTCAGTCTATTTCTAGATTTTTGAGAAACCTCTACCCTGGTTTTCACAGGGGCTGCACCAGTTCACACTCTAACCAATGGGAAATGAGTGGGAACTTATGTGATCTGTATTTATCTCCCCCAAACCACTGTAGGTCCATAATAGTCCTAAGAAATGGTGGGACTGAATTCTAAAAACACAGCAAAGACAATAATTTCTGAAAAAAAACCTGAAGCGAATTGTTTACCTGTCCCCAGACTGTTCTCAAAACCTTAAAGAAAACCATTCTGAACAGATTTCAGTCACCACTGTCGATAAAGGTTAGACTGATGTTTTTTAGCTTTTCAGACACCCTGCTCTCTACAAAACTCACTCTGCCTATGCAGAACGAAATTACCCATAGAAGCTGTAAGTCTGGCAGCCTTCCAATTATTGACAAAAACAGGCAGAGAGCCAGATTTGATCTATGTTTATAATTTTTCACACCTACTCTACTCCATTACTTTTATTTTATTATAGAAAGTTTCAAATAAACAAAAAATAGAGAATACCTTATGCTACCATTGAGCATTAATAGTTGTTAACATTTTACTGTATTTATTTCATCTATTTTAACTGCTGAATGATCAGAAGGAATTTACATTATTACAAGAGTTCTTTTCATAATCAAGCATATATGATATATATGTGTGTGTATGTAAATATGTATTGTGACCTACCCTAGTAAACCTTATTCTCTAATTCTCTTATAGAGAATCATAATCAAGCATATATGATATATATGTGTGTGTATATAAATATGTATTGTGACCTACCCTAGCAAACCTTATTCTCTAATAATCCTGTTTAAACTTCCCTAAAAATCCCCATAACTACTACCAAAGCAGCTTTGTTGAATCAGGAATCTAATAAGCATAAAACTGCACTTTATTTTTTTTCATCTAAGGCAGAGATGCATCTTTTGGATATCGTTGTGTATGACACTAACTCATTAAGGCATCATCTCCATTTTGAGCAACATGAAACACTCTATCCCTGGAAAGTTAGTACAGATGTAAAACAAACTTTATGAACTGGCCACAAATTTACTCTGTAGCTAAGGACGACGACAGAATGTCAGGATTACAGGCCTTCACCACCGGCTGGGTTTACACAGCACTGTAGTTGAAAGCCCCTCATTGGTCCTATATAAGAGAATGTGTAGGGTTGGGGAGGATAATTTTGACCCATATTGAAGTCAGAGGTTCGCATATGTCAAAATAGCATATTCTCAAAGGTTCCTCCAAACTGTAAGCACTCTGCAAACGAACTTAGATAAGCAGTGAATTCTGTTAGTTATGCCAACAGAATGCAAGCTCAGTAAAATCTATTACCCTTAAGAATTGTGTGTGTGTGTGTGTGTGTGTGTGTGTGTGTGTGTGTGTCTGTGTGTCTGTGTGTCTTCCAAGAAAGGGCTATGCTATGCCAAGTGCTGAGCAAATGCGGAAATGTCATCCCTTTAAGGTAACATTCTGGGGTTTAAAAGAAAATCCCTTCACCAGAATTCTGATCCCGTTGTTGAACTTGGTCAGCTCACTCGGGAAACTCCAACTCAAAAATACCCTCTGCCCCCTGCCAAATTTCATGAAATTTCTATGAAATGAAACTCACATACATAGTCACCACCACTGAGGGGCCACTTGGAATGTGTGGAGATGGACAGATGCAAACTGGGTAACAGTTTCACCACAATGAGGAAGGGACCACCACGAGGAGACCACTTGACAGAACTGGGAACACGTGAAGAGGGGGAAGAAGAGCTACACAGACTGTTTGAAGGTATCTTCTCTCCTCAGCATCAGGGCACAGGAGCAGTGCAGAGGCAGGAAAGCGTCTGGGCCTAGGATTCAGGGAATTTCTGAAAGGAAAGGGAATGAAAGGATGAGCAGACACTGCGGGACACAGCTCCAAGCCCAGCTCTAGGGGGGGCTGTGGCAAGGAGGCGCTAAGTTCAAGGCCAGCTTGAGCTATGTAAAGACACTTTGCCTTAAAACTTAAGTGCTAGTTGGAAACGGGGACGAAAGTAGCACACATGGTGCAAACACATATATGCACTACATACGAAGTAAACAATTGCCCTTCCTCCCTTGCAATGGCCGTATTTCAAATGCTCATCAGGCAGTTAACAGTCAGTGGCCTCCATATTGGACAGAGCGGGGACTATATCTGCATTGTTGAAACTTAGACAGCACTGAGAAAATGAAAAGACAAGGAAAGAGGCCAATGAAGAGAAAGGATGATTTGTAAGCACCCGCCTCACTTTGCTTGATGGAGCTCCTCTCCTGTTGGGACTGCCACTACTCAGAAAGATTGGGGCTCCACCCTAACTCCTCCCCCAAAAAGCTGCTAGATAAGTTGCTGTCCCCCAAACCATCTGGTTGGTTGGGATTGTTGGAACAAGGCCTTGAGTTAGGGTGGAGCCAGGGATGGGCTCAGGGAAAGATAATTCAATGGATGAAGGAGGTCCATGCGCTCCCTGGCACCAAGCCCAGAATTCCAGATGGATAGACCAGATGGGATAGGCTGCCACTGACAGCCTACAAGAGTCAGTCCTCCAGCCTTCAGTGCCCAGTGAGTGTTCTGTCGATACTGGCCACGTGATCCAACTACAAATGCGTTGTTCAAACTAAGTCATAGTTTGGGGTGTCATAGATGGATACTCACATTCTCATTTACTAATGAGGAATTTTGTCTGCTCCTCTCTTTGTTGTTTATTTACACCAGCCAATCCCTACCACAAGCATTTTTACTAACTGCACACACAGGCTCCCTTTATCCACCCCTCTGAGTGCTACAATGAGTTATGTGACATTTCAAACCACTGTCAAGTAACTGTTGCCACATACCCAGAGCAAAATGACAACATTCTGTAGACTGGACCCCAGAGAGCTCTCTCTGTTCTGGGATATGTTTAGCATTCTCTGACAATAATCTACATATTATCACACAGGTCTTGTTTCAGCGTGCCATAGCAAACGCTGGCAATATCCAGCTCCAATAGGGTTCCTGAGACAGTATTTAAGAGAAGATATCCCAAGAGAGTTTCTGAACGTTGCCTTGTATGGGTCAACATTCTTGCTAACCTCAGGCTCTTGCAGCTCTGCGTGTGTGGGCAGTCTTTCCCTGTGTTCTAATTGGCTCAGTGTGCAGTCTTGGCCCTGTGCTTGGGAATCGTCACTGACTTTTAACCCACCTCACCTGGAGTGCATCTGCTGTTTTCTCATTAGTATTTCAACACCGGACCTCAAGAGGATTTTAACTGGGGGCTGTGGTTGTTTCCTTTACATCTACCTGGGCTAAATTTTCAAGTTTGCTTTACTGTATTTTCAAAGGACGAACACTGAAAGAGGAGAAAATTGAAGATGGAGAAAAAAAATATCCATAGAGAGAAAATAGAGGCCTCCTGGGACTTAAACAGGTCACTGAAAGGAATTACACAGAGAACCAAATGATTGTAAGGGTTATGTCTTGTCTGTTCAGAAATGCTTTCAAAAAAAAAGAGTCGTCACTAATCATTAGCAATTTTTTCTCTTAAGAGCTTAGGAAATAGCTGCACCTTTCCTAACATCTACTAAAATGAAAAGCTTATGATTTTCTACTGTGACCTGAGGGTTTGGCTCTGAACATAAGCTGTACAAGCCTATGAACGTACACCGACACTCCAGATACACTCGCCTTCTCAATCTGACGAGGAGCTAACTTCCTAGCAGCTGAGGAGCCCTCAGCATGAACAGGAGCCCCCATGCTTTGGCCATTTTGACTGTCTGCCACCAAAAGCCTTCAGTAGAGGAGAGGCACATCCTACCCCAATAGAGAGCAGCTTTCCAGCTGGCAGAAGGGTGTGTCCCTGAGTTTTTACCTGGGAGCAATGATGATCTTGTCAAGCATTTCACTGAGACCAGCCCAAGTTTTTAGGGTGGGGATCCAGACTGGTTATACGTACCTTCCCTCCTTCTCCCAGTGGAAGGCAGAAACACCTCAAAGCCTGCATGTAAGAACATCTACTAGGAAATTATTTTAATCAGACACCAGCTGAGTGGGAGAAAGGAAAAGAGCAGAGAAGAACAAGCCAAACTCCCTTGGTCGTGGATGTAACAGAAGCCAGCGGCAGCAATGGACTGGCACTCCTTCAGAACAGCTGCCGTGCTGCTCACTTTCCTGGTAAGTGGATTCTGCTGAAAGCCACCCTTCACCCTCTAGCCTCAGCATAATCGAGAAGGCCTTTTCAGAGAATGTTATTTGCAGGCACTTCTCTGCTAAACCATTAAAAGTTTATGTTAATGACAAGGTGGTTTTTTACGAACTGGGATTTTAAGTGGTGTTTCTCTCTTTAATTGAAGACTCCAGATCATATTAATGCCGCAGAGTCCACTCATCATACCACGTCTCTGACATCCCAGATACTGATTGGTCACTCTGGGAAAATATTGAACTGAAAAGAGTCCTAAAGTTGCTGTATTTGCTTGTTCAAATTCTCATTGGCGGGGATGGGGCTTTTGAATTAAATATTCCAGGTGTGTCTGGGTTTTCAGTCTAAACACTTTCCCCTTCTTTGGGTGTTTTGATTGACAGACTGATGGCATGTTTTAAAGCCACGAAAGACTTCATATACATTAGGGTTGCAGCTGTTGTGATGAGCCTCACCGTCTTGGCACCCTCTTCCCTTCCAGATGTTGTCAGACTCCATCCAACTAACACCCAAAACCCTACGCTGTTTGCAACTTGAATTAAAATGCCATTGCTAATGTCAAAAACTGCAAGTCCAGGAGATTTGTAACCAATAGAGCAGGTGAGGGAATGAGCATAATTAAGGGGTAAACGTAATTACTGATGTGGCACAGAAGCCGCACATCTGATGCTCAGACCATGCAGTGCGACGATTTATTGTCGCCCTTGAGTTGATAAAGGTGCCACACCAATATATCAATGTTCAGCAGTAAGCTTTAAAGTTATAGTCTCTCTCAAAGTTCAAAGAAGGATAAATGGAATCTTAAAAGGCAAGTGCCAGGTAAATCCCCCTCCAGCTTTGGCAGGATGTGGTTCTTATCTGTTTTTGCTTGCTTAATTTTTGAACTGAAATGTTGAATTTGTATTGTAACAAGTTAGAGTTTTGGTTTCCTATATGCTGGCTAATTTGAATTCAGTTTATTTATTAAGAGGGGTCATAGGGCTGGGGATGTCGTTCAATGGTGGGACACTTGCCTAGCATACATGAGGTCCTGAGTTCAGTTCCCAAAAGTGAATGATAAAAGGGCAAGGGAATTGTGAGCAGTAACATGTAGTTATAAATGACTCTCAAGGGCTTTAGTTCTAAGCTGCCCTTCAAATGTGACTTTTATTCTATAGGCTTTTTAGTGGATTTTTAGGTTCAGTTAATGTCACAACCTGGACTATGGCAAAGATCAATGAGTATTATATAGCAGATCATTTGACCACAGGAATGTTTGTCTATTGCTAAATAATCAAATACTTTAATTTTTAATTTCATATAAATTTGGCTTATTGTAGCATTTCCATTCATTAATGCAGTTCCAACAACTGTGCGCTTTTATTGAATTTATAAGTAATTCTTTATTTATTGATTTCTGTGATTATTTCTAATTGATTGCATCTTATGAAATTCCTCCAAACAGTTCTTTCCTGGTTAGCCATTCATCAGTAAAATACATCATTTTATCTAAGTTCTCATGGAACTGTCAGGCCGGAGAGAGAAACTTCTGGGGATTTGTACTTTACTCTCTAAGCTTGGATAGTGTGTGTGTGTGTGTGTGTGTGTGTGTGTGTGTGTGTGTGTCTGTCTGTCTGTCTGTCTGCGTGTCTGTGTCTGTGAATTAGTTTTGGGAAGAGGAGGAGTCTGTGACCATATTTACTGCGGAATCTAGCACAAATTTCTCAGATACTTTACAGTATTTATCTGTTTTCACTTATGTGTATGTACGTGTGAGTCTGTGTAAATGTATGCAAAAAGTGTGTGGGTTCCCTGGAGCTGGAATTATAGGCAATGGTGAGTCAATGAATGTGGGTGCTAAGAACTGATCTCAGGTCCTCGGGAAGAGCAGTGTGTGCCCTTTACCACTGTGCCAGCCCATCTTTAGAAAGCTTTACTATAATGAATTAAAACACTTTATTTTCAGGTTAATATGGCGTTTTTGGTAAGATGTTTCACTTTTGAAGGTTTTGAAGGTCCTATTTTCACTACTAATTTTAGCAGATGACTTGCAATCCCATCTTCTGTCTCTAGTCTGAGTGTGTTTTTCTTTATCAAAGGAAAAGGTTAAAAATAAGTAAAAAAAATAAAGTTTTTATAGTCTTCACTGCTCAAAGTCAATAAATGAAAATACATGGTAGGAATACATTTAGAAAAATGCAAATATATTTAAGATGTTTAAAATGATAATATTTTCATATAAAGCTATTTAGAGAGCTTAGCAACTATGTGTTGGTGGTATATTGCATGACCTGCTCAGCACATGTGGTAGTGGATGCTTTAAGCCTTGTCCAAATTAGTAAGTTAGACCACAGAGACTAAGCAGAGAAGCTGCTCCTAAAGGGACCAAGGCTGCTGCATGAGCTTTCCACCAATCCAGACTTCTACTGGACAGGACAGATGGTAGCTCACATCTGTTACAGCACCACAAGCTGAAGGCATGGGTTGACTCTTTCCCCCCTCCTCTTTCTGCTCTGCCTTTTCCTCCTCCCCTTCTTCCTCTTCCTCCCCTTCCTTCTCCTATTATCCATCCATCTATCTATCTATCCATCTATCTATCTATCCATCTATCTATCTATCTATCTATCTATCTATCCATCTATCTATCTATCCATCCATCTATCTATCTATCTATCTATCTATCTATCTATCTATCTATCTATCTATCCATCTATCTATCTATCTATCTATCTATCTATCCATCTATCTATCTATCTATCTATCCATCTATCTATCTATCTATCTATCCATCCATCCATCTATCTATCTATCTATCTATCTATCTATCTATCTATCTATCCATCCATCTATCTATATGCAGGGAGTAGTTATAATTTTCTCCTGCCAGAGAACAGTGTTATACCTGTGCATCAAACAGAAAAAAAAATCTGGGCAGATGGATGTGACGATTATGAAAGGAAATCCTTAACCTCCATGAGAAGGAGCACAGTAAGATCTGAGAACTCTGGGGATTGCTGGGAAAATCACCTGCAAAGTCACCACGTCTGACTACTCTGCTAAACATGAGCACAAATCTGATGACATCCTTTTCTATTGAGGCACATTCTGCAGATTAAGTTCAAAGAACAGATAAAAAAAAAACCTTATTTTATCTGTTAACAAAAATGATGCTAATCATAGTTTTGGATTTTTCTTCATTTTAGATTTTTGATTGAAGGTCTTACTCTACAGCCCAGGCTAGCCTGCACTCACTATGTAGCCCAGGCTGGTCTTAAGCTTCATGTTCCCCTGTCTCAGCCTCTTAAATGCTTGGGTTGCAGGCATGCACCACTAGACCAGGCTCTAGTTTACTCTTTTCATGATAATTTTATGAGATTACTACTTCATTCAATTAACTAACACCCAATAAACTAACCCTACAATTTGAGCTTTGTTAAACTTTTTAAGAATACAAGCAGGCGTTAAAATGGTACTCATTTATGACACAGTTGATTAACTTTCTTTATTTGAACCTGATATTGTAAGTTCTCTTATTTACATTCACTGACACCAAAAAAGAAAGTACTGAAGTTCACTGATACCAAGAAGAGTACTAAACAGCTGGCATAGACCCAACAGAAGACAATCCTGAAGGGACTCTGACGCTTTCCTGCACATATATTAAATTGTTGTGCACTGCAGAGGAGAGCATTTCAGCCCAAGGTTTTATAGGGAATGACATGGGTGTTTCTATTCCTCTGGTTAGTGAAACAGGAACTGTAGTTAAGCAGGATCATCTTCACAGATGTGGTATTTGCAAAAGCTTTCTTTATTCACTGAAAATCTAGGAGTAAAATCTTCCTCTTCCTTCCACTTTCCACAAATGGGGAGTCAAATCCATCCCCACTTAATGAGGGCTGTGACAGTGTAGAAGGCATTTCAGTGACAAGAAAAGCTAACACATAAATGCTGGAGGGATGAATCAAGATGCAGCTATTGGAAGATGCTGGCAGATGATGACAAAGGACACTTGGGTCCCTGTGCATGTCTCTTACTTTCTGATACTTCTCTACTGTGATTTCAACAAGGACTCTGGTGCCGAACATCTGATGTCATAAGAAGAGACATTGCTTAACATACAGGCAGGAAGCTTGATCTGCTAGGCATTGTGCTTAGATTTCTTCTGCTCCTTCCGCTGAGTTAACACCCTCCAGGGTACTGGGTCATACCGCCCATTCTAGTTATGCTTGGCGTGCAAACTCTTGTAATGGACCTAGACAGGTCCAACCTTTCTCATGCCAATGGCTGGTGATCCATGCTCTTAATTGCTCCATGAGCGTGGAGTACAGTCTTTTATACTTGTCTAATTAGAATCACATCCCTACAAATTAACAGCTGATTGCTGCTTGTGAAACTCTTTGACTCTAAGTCACTTGAAGGCAAGCTCCATGTCTGATTAACCTTTGGATCACTCACAGCTCTCTCAACAAAGAGACTCCATACAAGACTGAGAGTCTCAGTATCTCACTCTACTGAACAGAAACACCAAAAGGGAAATTGGGGGTAGCTCAAATTTCCTTTCTCACACATAATCCAAAGAATATCCTCTCAAGGTAATCAGTGTAGAAATAATTGTGTTGCCTTTTCCTAATGTTTTGTGGTGTTGTGTTGCATCCACTTCAAATTTCATTTAAGCTTACCAGAAGTTTCAGGGTCTCAACCTTCCTAATGCTGTAATCCTTTAACACAGTTCCTCATGTTGTGGTGACCCCCCAACCATAAAATTATTCCATAGCTACTTTATAACTGTAATTTTGCTACTGTTATGAATAGTAATGTGAATATCTGATATGCAGGATATCTGATATATGACCCTTGTGAAACAGTCATTGGACCCCAAAGGGTCATGACCTACAGGTTGAGAACCACTGTTTTAGTACCATTATGCTGTCTTAGAACATTGTAGTACACATTTCTCAGAGAAATGAACAATTGTGAATAAATATGAGAAATTAACCCACTAAGGTATGGCCAATCCCAACGTCACATCCTTTGTCAAAGAAAGACAAAAGAAGGATTTTGTTGTTTTGTTTTTGTTTTTGTTTGGTTGGTTTGTTTTGTTTTGTTTTTTGGTTAAGAAACAAATTTTATTTTACTATTCTTTCTAGCTTATCCTTGTGATGTACCTAATAGTTAACAAAGACAGTTTTTTCAACAAATTGCCACTATCTCACTATTATTAAATACAAAAGATTTTCCTCAGCAAGAAATTACCCTTCAAGTCAAATTTTAGTACATGGAAAGGACAAATTTTAATTTTAAAAAAACTTGCTGAAATTTACCTTAACTGGATAATCATTAAAAATGTCATGAATTTGCATCCTGTGGCTTTAAAATAAATATATTTTGATTGGCTGTGGAAGCAGATGTGAAGGGAAGAGCTCATTGAGATGAGTTACTTACTGTTGTTACAGAACTTTTGGACGCCAAGAGAATTTAGTTTTCAATGTTTGTGACAAAACTGTGGCTCAGACATATTAAATTTTCAGTGGGCAAGAGAACAGAGTCTTTTTAAACACCTTAACAACCCATGTCTCTAGGGGGAATCTCCATAACTGTCCACATTGCACAAAATCCAGAATTGTTTCGGAGCCCAAGTTACTCCACCGTCATCAGAAAATCACCATACCTATGCCAGGGAAGAGGGCTCTGTCACTTAGAATACCTTCTCTCTGACTTTGCTTCCCCTATGAATGTATCAAAATCCCCATCCTTCCTCTCTCTACCCATCCTTCCTCTCTCTACCCATCCTTCCTCTCTCTACCCATCCTTCCTCTCTCTACCCATCCTTCCTCTCTCTACCCATCCTTCCTCTCTCTACCCATCCTTCCTCTCTCTACCCATCCTTCCTCTCTCTACTCATCCTTTCTCTCTCTCTACCCATCCTTCCTCTCTCTACCCATCCTTCCTCTCTCTACTCATCCTTTCTCTCTCTCTACCCATCCTTCCTCTCTCTACCCATCCTTCCTCTCTCTACTCATCCTTTCTCTCTCTCTACCCATCCTTCCTCTCTCTACCCATCCTTCCTCTCTCTACCCATCCTTCCTCTCTCTACCCATCCTTCCTCTCTCTACCCATCCTTCCTCTCTCTTTGCTCTTTCCCAGCCTGTCTTCTTCTGCTCTCTCTGTCACACTTCTTTTACATGGCTTTTTTCCAATCAAAATCCCTTCTCAACCTTCAAACATAGTATCTCCCTCACCCACACAGTTTTCGCTGATTCCCACACCTAAAGCTCATTTGGTCTTTCTCTTTTTTTATCATCGAAATTCCTGGGAAAGTAACTTTCTGTCTTCCTTTCCTCTCCACCCCTTATTCTCTTTTGAGAGGGCTGATCTTTGTCCTGTCTACCTGAAAACGTCCTCTAAAAGGACACTGAAACTCTACTATTTCCTCAAATTTCTCACAGTTCCGTTTTTTCAGATCATCTGACTTTCGTGTCTCATCAGTCTCTCAACGTCCCTTCTTTGACAGCTGCGGATCCTTTTATCTCCTCCGGTCCACATGGCACACTTTTGTTTCTGCCTTTCTTCCTTCCATCTGCCTCCCTCCCTTTTACTGTCCTTTCTCTCCCCCCCCCCCGTCTCTCTTTTTCTCTCTGTGTCTCTCTCCCTCTCTCCGACCTCTTCACAACCACTACCATCACTCCCTCCCTCCCTCCCTCCCTCCCTCCCTCCCTCCCTCCCTCCCCACACCCCCACGTTGCACTTATTCCCAGATAAACAAATGTAGGAGTTCCCTGTGCCATCCTCACCCACAGGCTGTTTCTTTACTACACCCTCCTCTTTATAAGTATCTAATTCTCCCATGATTTTAACAGTTCTATAGGAGTGGATGCACCTCGACATTACATACCCAAGCTAGGGTTTTGCTCAATGGTATTCCTATAGCACCTTGAACATTGTCCTACCTCTGGCCCTAGTCCACTCTTTAGGACTGCTAGCTCCAGGGACCCCTCCTGCTCTTTATCTGGCATCCCATCTGCTCTCTAACCTTGCAGATCCTGTCCATCCAGATCTTTCCCTGTGGCTCTCACTGCCTTTGCATCTACTTAGCTCTTTCTCACCTCTACTTTGATTGGTGCATAGGACCCAACAGCCTTCAGCCTGTAATTTCTAAGTCTTCCCACTGCTCCTACCGACTATTGTCCAAGTAAGCTTTCAAACCTATAATTTCAGCATGCCTTTCCCATGACCAAAATACCTCAATATCCTTTTACGGTACACAAGGATTTGATGTTAGGACTGGAAAGGTATTCGTGTAGAGTCTGTCTACCCACATCCCAAACGAGATAAAGCTCAGAGAATTACTATACATACATACATACACACACACACACACACACACACACACACACACACACACACACACAACACACACACACACACACACACACACACACACACACACACACACACACACACACATTGTTTTCTGACAACCCAATGATCTTTCCATGTCATTATTTTGTCTTTAAAAGCCTAATACTTTGTATCTGAATTTATTCTACACTCTGATTTTTAAAAAAAGGAAGAAGAAGAAGAAGCTCTCATCAACCCACCACATTTTAAAAAGCAGACTAGGCGGTTTTTTAATTACCCATCCAATTGTAAGTCTGACACTGTGGTGAAACCTACTTGGTCTTTTGCCTAAGTTGCTTCTCATGGGAAAGAGGATGACCTGGCTTCATAAAGTTGGGAAGAGTTCTTAGTCACCTGGCCAGTTACCCAGAGCAGTAAGCCCTGGCGCTTCACTCCAGGAAGGGAAACACAGTAACAGATAGCAGATGAGTAAACAAGAGGTGTAGCTATGAAGAAATGACTTCCAAACAGACAGATGAGGCAGTCCTGCAGACCTGTCCCACCCACAAGCAAGAGCAAGAGAAGGGTGCCCAAAATACCACAAGCAGCAAGAACTCACTGGAGTAAGTGAGGTCTCTAGTCAAGCTCGGCTCTATAGACAACATTGCAGTTGTCCACCCTAACCATTAAGCTGTGTGGATTCCTTTGTTGCCTTGTATCGCTGCTGTTGTTGCTGCTGCTGCTGCTGCTGCTGCTGCTGCTGCTGCTGCTGCTGCTGCTGCTGCTGCTGTTGCTGCTGCTGCTGTTTCTATATAACCAGTACCAGTGGGTCTGGGGAGATGGCCCAGTGGATGAGAGTAGTGCTGCTCCTCATCCATGAGGATCTGAGATTGAATCCTCAGCATCTACATAAAAAGCTTCGTGGCCACCAATGCCTGTGGTCCTACTGCTGTGGAGATGAGGACATTCCTATATCAAGGGAATAAGGCTGAGAGCATTAGATCAGAACACTCAGTGCATTCACCTGGACACACATGTGCTCATACACACACACACACACACACAATAATAGTAATTAATAATAATAATAATAATAATAATGTGAAGTTAGATCAAAATAGTAACTTTTAGTTTTCAAAGACATATTATCAATTCTTGCTAACGTTTCACTTAATTTATTTGAGCAAACAGACTATCTTATACTTGATTGTAAAACAAACACATATGTAGGATGAACTGTATGGGATTGCATTTGCCATAAGTTAGTAGCCAGGCCTCAGTTTCCTCCCCTGTGTAAAGGAGACAATAATAATAACGTCCATTACTGGGTTTGTAATGACGAGAATGGACAGATTTTTGTGACCACATTGTCTTATACTTAGTTATCATCCATTTAATGGCAAAAGTAATAATTACAATGACTGACATGGTATCATGGGTAATAATTCTCTTCATGATACTCATGTTGATCATAAATACATGTTTGTTTGTTTGTTTGTTTAACATTTCTGTTTTGACATTTTTTTTCAAAAAATCTTCTTAGCAACTGAAATTTATATTTTCCTTAAGGATGAAACTGAAACCAGGTGTGAAAAACTAATCACTATGTTTAAAATTATTGATATTCATTTTTTTAATGCACACTATAGCTTTTAATATCAGTGCTAACATCTGATTATGAGCATGGGTTTCAGGCTTTGCTGTTGCGAGAAAACTCAATTAGAAGTTCCATACCTCTTATTTGAAAAGATATTTACAAAACTTAAGGGTGTACATTGGTGTTAACTGATACTCAGTGCAATTTAAAACAATGAATGCAAAAAAAAAATGCTTAATGTTTAAATATACATTTGCCATGTCTTAAACAAATATAGACACATTACTTTGACATGTAAATATTGGTGTTTTAAGTGATGACTTTTTTAGATTTTTAGATTCAAAATAATTTAATATATCCTGATACTTCACCACCAGTTCTGTGCAATGCTCAAATCTGGAATTTAACTTAAATGGAGCTCTATTTAATAGCACATGCTTTACTGCAGAGAGAAGTTCCCTAATCAGAAAAAAAAAAAAAATGGCTAAGAAACATCTACTGCCATTAACTTAGCCCAAATTTGCATTGTTTGGTTTTTTTATGTGTTTTTAGTTATCTGTTAACATAGAATTGAAAACATTCATTAAACATGAACTATTTTGACTGCTTTTTACAGGTGGTGCTTGAAGTTAACAGTGAATTTCAAGTCCAGGTAAGAAAAAGCAAATTTATTTTTTCCATACTGAAAAATAAAATGCCAGGCATAAAGTACATGTCTGTAATCCCAGCATTTCCAAGACTGAGGCATGAAGATTGTGGATTAGAAGCCAGCTTTAGCTACATAAAAAAAAAAAAAAACCTGTCTCAAAAATCACATAATAAACAAACAAATTAAAAATAAGAAAAAGAGGGAGAGGGAGAGTGGGACAGAGGGAGAAGACCAAAGGGAAAGATAGATTAGCAATGCCAACATATACTCAAGGAAACCCTCATTTCTTCTAAATACAAAATTACTGCAATGTTGTGACTGCAAATGTTAAAGTTATCAGAACTCTTAATTTTCCACTTAACTGTCTTCTCTTCCTGACATAATTAGTCTTCCCCCAAATCTCCAGTGGAATGCCAATAATAAGTAATAGTTAATTGACACTATGTTTTACTCTCCCTATTCAAGGTAAGAGACTATAATGCGAAAAATGGTACCATTAAGTGGCACTCCAACAGAAGACAGAAACGTGAATGGATCAAGTTTGCCGCAGCTTGTCGGGAAGGTGAAGACAACTCAAAGAGAAACCCAATTGCCAAAGTAAGTGTCAACCCCAAAGCATGCATCCAAACAGCACAATGAGCAGGGTCACAGTTCTGGAAGGACCCAGCTTGCATATGCTTTGTGCACACATTCTACTGAAAAGTTATGGCCTAACGGCACCTCCCTATTCAAATTACGAAACCCAAAATTCCTAAAGGGATAAACCAAGAAAGTTAGGTACTTGGGTAAACAGCTAAATATTGTCTCATCTCATTGGCAGAAATAATGCACATGAATATTTGTTTTGCTAGACTCCAAAAAGACCATGGTTTACAGATGGATTTACAGTTCAACATTTTCAGAGTGTGTGATCTCTCTGATTAGTAATCTATTAGAACTTAACTCCTATTTGTCTGTATTTATAAATATTCAAAGCATGCCTCATTCATAACCTCAAGTTCCTATCATTTTCCCTATTCTCCTTTCTTCACACACAAACTCAGGAAACTACTCTGTCCATACACACAGATTCACATATAGAGACATACACAGATACAAACACAACCATTCATACAGATAGATATGGCAACTGCCTTGTTAGATTTGCTTATATTCATACGTTTATTTGAATAAAAAAGCCAGACTTTAATCCTTTATTGAGATGGGCTCTTTACTTTCCCACTTTCAGAATTAAAAGTTTCAAATGACTTGTTACTACAAAAATCTATTTAAATATTTTTCTGTTCTTTGTAGTTTTTAAAGTTGTTTTTTTTTAGTTAAAGATCAACATTATGTGATAACTGCATTATAAAACTCTCTAAGAAAGCAAGGAATAACCTACTTTAGACAAAGAGCTAGCATAGAGTCTAAAAATAATACAAAAATAAAGCTATAAATGTTTTATGATTATGGCATCTATGCACGACATCTATGAAGACTTCATAGGGTGACATTTGATTCTTCATTGTTTGGTATACATAGAAATAGGGTTTGGCATGGTGGTGCACTCCTTTAATCCCAGCACTCAGGAGGCAGAGGCAGACAGATCTCTGTGAGTTCAAGGCCAACTTGGTTTGCAAAGTAACAGCCAGGGCTGTTACTCAGAGAAATCTTGTCTCAAAAAAACAAAAACAAAAATAAACAAACAAAACAAATAAGACCTAGAAATGGAATTATTTTATTACATTGTTATTTACCATTAAAAATACAACACTGATCATGTACTTACTACTCTATTTCCATGTTTTTGACACCTCCCAAATGATGTCACAGGCAACACATTCAACAATTCCCAAAGACAACAGTTGTCATATGTCACATTTAGAAGTGGACACAGCCCCTGTAACATCTTTACCTGTATCTTTCTGCAGATTCATTCTGACTGTGCCGCAAACCAGCAAGTGACTTACCGAATCTCTGGAGTAGGAATCGACCAGCCACCTTATGGAATCTTCATTATTAATCAGAAAACTGGCGAAATCAATATAACATCCATCGTTGATCGGGAAGTCACCCCCTTTTTCATCGTAAGTGGGCTTTGTTTCAATATCTGTATGCAGGTGTAAATTATTCTTAGAAAAATCTTAGACCATACCAGATTTGATTTCAAGAGTCCCCAAATCGGGATTTCTGAGATCTCCCTTAATTCACAGGTACCCTAATAGATGAGAAAAAAATTAATACAGAAACATTTCCCTCATATGTTTGCAAAAAAAAAAAAAAAAAAAAAAAGCTAGTTAACATCAGCTCCACAACAAACTAGAGTATTTGTTTGGAAGGGCAAATCTTTAGCTCTTACTCAATCTTAAAAAAGAAAATCAGTGGAAATCAACGCTTCCTTTTAGCTCCACTGCCAAGTGATGAGCCTGGAGCTGCTTGCTATTTGTTCCATATGAACATACTTCATCATAACTTTACACTGTTTGAGATCATCTGAGCTCTAAAGGAAACCTGAAAACTCACTCATCTTTAATCTCCCCCACATCTCTCTCTCTCTCCCTCTCCCCCCTCCTCTTCTCTCTCCCTCTCTCTCTCTCTCCCTCTCCCTCTCCCTCTCTCTCTCTCTCCCCGCCTCCTCTCCCCCCCCCCTCTCTCTCTCTCCCCCTCTCTCCCTGTGGAAGCTGTCACACAACTTACATAACCTCTCTCCCAATGCTCCACCTCATTTCTCTTTAAGCAGTTCACCCCCCCCCCCCCCACAACCATGCCACCTATCCCAATACCTCCCATTCATACACATAGCACTCTCTTTCTGGCTCAGATATATTCGTAGCTGAGTCTAAAAGCATGATCAGCTTTCTGCCTTCCTGGAGCTTTCCCCAGGACATGTCTGCCACCCTATTGTTCCTTGTCTCTCGAAGAGCATTATCCTATCACCGAATTTTTCCCTTTTATTCTCCTTAGCCGGTTACTGTCTCCATTTCCATCAATCATCATGGCTAACACTTCTTAATGAAAAACTAAAAGAAAATAAGCTGGGCAGTGGTGATGTGTACCTTTAGTCCCGAAGCAGGCAGATCTCTGTGAGTTAGAGGCCCGCCTAGTCTACAAAGCAAGTTCCAGGACAACCAGGACTACACAGAGAAACACTGTCTCAAAATAATGGTATAAAAACAATCTTTCCAATGACCTTGTAGTCTCTTCTATTAAAGTCCCATCAAAGGTCTGAGGATGTATCCCAGTGATCATCATTTGCTTATTGTGTGTTCAATTCCCAGGCCTGAAAAAAAATAATATTCCAAACTAAGTCCATATATCCTTCAGTCCTTGCTGTTTTCCTTCACACTGCTCATCTCCATCCCTAGAACTACTCTAATTACTTAGCCTCCAAGTCCAAATCTTTACTCTTGACTTCTTCCCTCCAGTGCCTCTCTACAAATTCAGCAAATCAGCAAACCAGTCCACCTTAAGGCACAGTGCATTGTTACACAGAGCAGATGACCTTTGTGAAATAATACACTTTACACGTCTTCACAAGGGAAGAAGTAATAATGAAATAAACAGCCACATAACGCCCCCAACTCTTAAGAATGACACATTGATTTTAAAGTGTTCCTCTGACTCTCTGACTACATTCTCCAAGGCCCTTCCTCTGGTACTTTTTCTTGATTTTAAGCATAGAATCTGTAACATTTCCTTTATCTAATGTATCAAGTTACCTTTTTAAGTAGCATTTTGTGCTCTTGTTTGCCTTTTCTTACTGGTTATATGTGTTGCATGTGTCTATATTTCAGTGGGAAATAATAATATGGTGTTCCTTAATCCTGTGTGGTACCAGGGCAATATCTCCATTCTGTAAGAACTTACAAATGCATACCTCACCACAGATCCTTCTCCTTCATGTCTAGATCTATTGCCGAGCATTGAATGCACAAGGTCAAGATTTGGAGAACCCACTGGAGCTAAAAGTTAAAATTTTGGATATAAATGACAACGCTCCTGTGTTTTCCATGACTACATTCGTAGGACAAATAGAAGAAAATTCTAATGCAAGTGAGTCACCTATACTACTAAAGAAATTTTGTGCTGATGACTAAATTACTGTTGCTAGGCAACTGGGCTGAGCTGGGTCAAGGTAAACATCAACTGGGAGAGAAACTGTAGCAAGCATTCAGAACCAACAACTCAGTAATTCCGAAGCAAAAAGTGGGATTCACACTCATGCCTCATGGCCTAGCTCCTAGGAGAGTCGTGCAATAAATCCCAACAGGATCTGCACAGTAGTGGCAGGCTCAGAGGGATGAGAATTTATTCTCTGCCTGAGTGTGTTGAAAAGGACTCCACTCACATGTAATGCAGTTTTCTTATCTTCTGGCTTTGGCTCCAGGAACCCTAAACATAAAGAGATCTGGGGAGCTCACATCCTTTTACAAATGAAGTCTTGTTTGCATATAACTCGCATACATCCCTCCATAGATTTTAAATTATTTCTAGATGACCACAATGCCTAATGCAATTTAAGTGTCATATAAATATTTATTATCCCATGTTTCTTAGATAACAGTAACTAATGATGTGAAGGGGCCTTTATAGACTCAGCCAAGTTCTTTGAATTTTTCCCACTCCTTATGGGCTGAACTGTGGGCATGGAACCCACAGCTGCAGAGGGCCCACTTCAGTTCTGTTTGCTCTTTGTTCACGTTACTGGGTTTTCACATTGGAAGTGTGTTATAAATGTGATTGCATGGGGCTCACTGTGAATATTTGAAGCATATCTCTCAAATGGTGAGCTGGTGCTAAGTAGGTAGCACTAAGGAATCTATTCCCCTCTAGCATTTCTCTGCAAGGGCTCTGACAATCTCAAAGCAGAGTTGCTAGCCTGTGACTTCCTGAACCTACAAATTTAATTACCAAAGACTCAGTCGCCTAAGTGGGACTAGATATTAGCCATTTGTACACCACTGAAAATTATTCAGGAGGTATAGATCTAAGAGGGAGAGGTGAGATGGGGAAAGAGAAAGAGAAGAGAAGAGAAGAGATGGGATGCCCTGGCACACTAGCAAATTATTTTGGAAACAATTTAAAGAGTAGAGCAGAATTCCAGTAGATGAATGTATGTTTTCATGCCCACTAGTATCATTCATCAAACTACTTATTAGATTAAGAAAGAAGATAAGGACAGGGCAGTGTATGTGATTAAACAAGCATTTCCCATAAGCTCCTAGCTACACAGGACCTACACAAGAGTCAATTCCAATCTAAACAACAATGTCACTTTTTAAATGCCCAAAATGGACAATAATGTTCATTAAAAGTACATTATTTGGTAGACACTCTGTTAATATTCTCTTTGCTATTGAATTCTCACATGAGTGTGGTGTTATTACAATTCTCATTTGTAACTGTGGGAAGTAAAAACAAGACCACATAGTAAAAATAAGGTCATATAGCACAGTTGGGAAAACACTGAATTTTAATGCTATTTTATTTCACCATAAGCATCTTGTTTAAAAGAAATTGTATCAGAATAAGAAACAGAGAGTTGGAATAAAAGACTGCCTTTTCCCTTCAGCAGTGTCTAGGCTCCTATTCAAATATGGTCTTTTTATCAGGGTAAAGGTAAAGAAAGGAGTTAATATATTGATTGGTATGCTGATGTTGTACAAAGTGAAGAAAGTTGAACACACACTGCTTAAACATAGATAACATATTGGATTGTAATAATGTTCATTGTCTAATCGTGGCAATTGCCCTCGATTCCTAGACACGTTGGTCATGGTACTCAACGCTACCGATGCAGATGAGCCGAATAACTTGAACTCGATCATCGCTTTCAAGATTGTAAGTCAGGAACCTTCGGACTCACCAATGTTCATCATCAACAGAAAGAATGGAGAAATCCGAACAATGAATAATTTCCTAGACCGAGAGGTAATTCTTCATCTTTAAAAGGTTTTCATTCGAAAGGATATGGTTCTAAAAGTAAGGATACTTAAGAGAAAGGAAAACTAAAAGAATATGTTCAAATTTTGCATATTTTTATGATATTTATTTATGGGGGAGCTTGTCGTCATGTGCATGCTATGATACGCTTGTGAAGGTCAGAGGACAACTTCTGAAAGTTGGTTCTCTCCTTCCGTCTTAGGAGGTGTCTCTCAAGTTGTCAGGCTTTGTGGTAACTACATTTACCTGCTGAGCCATCTCACTAGCCTTATTTTTACATCAACACTTTAATTTAAATGTTTTTATGCACAAGATATTTTGATTATGTTCTTTTCTCTCCTCTAACTCCTCCTAGATTCCCCTCCTCCCTACCCACCCAATTTCATTCTCTCTCTCTCTCTCTCTCTCTCTCTCTCTCTCTCTCTCTCTCTCTCTCTCTCTCTATGTCTCTCTCTCTCTCTCTCTCTCTCTCTCTCTCAAACAACCATCAAAACAAATAAACAAAAATATAAGATAAAATATTAAAATAAAAAATTCACATGCACACACAAAAATAGGAGTCTGTTTGGTGTTCACCAACCACTCCTGGACATAGGCCCTGCCCTGGTGTGTAGTTAATATGTCTAGTGGCATTCCACTGGAGAAAACTGCTCCCTCTTTCCCAGTGGATATCAGTTGCAAGTAGCTTCTTGGTTAGGTTTGTGTCCACTTCACCTCAGTGCTGAGATTTTTGGAATTTTTGTGGCCCCCCACAATCACAGGGGATTCTGGGACCATGAAGAGATGTACTGAAGTTATACCCATAAATTGGAATTATTATGTTTGTGCACAAGTCTAAGGAAGGTTCCATAATTTTCACTAACTTCTAAAAGTGGAGGCACCACTGAATAGAATCAAAAATAGAAACATCATTAGTGACTCCATTGCCCACCTCTTTATTTGCATTGGGTTCTCAGTGGATCTTTGCTCATGCTATGTATCTTTGACGAAGCATGTCTCTCTCATCTTGAACATTCTGGCCTGCCTCATCCTTTAGAGACTTCTCCTCCCTCTGGACATACAATGAGTAAGAAATAAAGTCTTTAACAAAACTGTTGCTTTTTTGAGATTATGCTAGGGAAGCATCACTGGAAATGGACGTGACAAATTCCATACTGAGTGATGTGAGATCTGCGGATTTTCACCTCTGTTACCTTGTCTTCTATCATGGATTTGTGTAAATGTTAAGCCAGTGTTTTAAAAGACCTCTGCATAAGACCAATTGTCTATGCCTAGTGTGCCATAGCCTGTAATGTGTCTTTTTCAGCAATATAGCCAGTATTCTCTTGTCGTGAGAGGCTCAGACCGTGATGGTGGAGCAGACGGCATGTCTGCAGAATGCGAGTGCAACATCAGAATCCTGGACGTCAATGACAACATCCCATACTTGGAGCAGTCATCTGTAAGCGTTTGTTCAATTACATTTATTACCTTCCAATTCTTATAGGAACCCATTCAGTTTTCAGGTGTACTTGCTGCATTTGCTGTTTACAACACCAATGTAGACACACACTTTCTCTTAAATTACTTCCTACAGTAGGAAGTGGATTTGAACAATAAAGTATGCAATTGTAAGTGAGGATGTTGTGTCTGAACAGTTAACTGTAAACAAGCAGTGGACAGCCTGGTACAGGTGCTCTGCCCCACTTTGCTCTGATATTTTGCCTCTTGTTTCAGTATGACATCAGCATTCAAGAAAATGAACTGCACTCACAGCTAATGCAGATCAGAGTCATTGATCTGGATGAGGAGTTCTCAGACAACTGGAAGGCAGTCATTTTTTTCATCTCTGGAAATGAAGGAAATTGGTTTGAAATAGAAATGAACGAAAGAACAAATGTAGGAATTCTAAAGGTTGTCAAGGTATGGCATAATTATCCTAAGTAATTTGTTTTGCTGGTCTTTTCTTTTTCAAAACATCAAAGTTACATTGGTATTAACATTATATGAATGAGTCTATGAAATAATAAAAATTACAATGCTTTAAAATTATATAAAATACAAAAGTCTTTAATATGAATATATATATACTTATATTGCTTCAGGAAAATAAGTATTAAAAATTTAATCCCAGCACTCGGGAGGCAGAGACAGGCGGATCTCTGTGAGTTCGAGGCCAGCCTGGGCTACCAAGCGAGTCCCAGGAAAGGCGCAAAGCTACACAGAGAAACCCTGTCTCGAAAAACCAAAAAAAAAAAAAAAAAAAAAAATTTGAAACTCTTTTTATCAATACAGTCCTCCAAAGATTGCATGAGGGGAAAGCATTTCTAAATAAGAGGGCTTTGAACAACAAAGTATGATTAAAGTATAATCTCTAAAGTTAAGGTTTTGTTTGTATTTATTTAAAGATTTATTTTTATCATTTTTAATTACGTGTATGTGTGCCTATATCTGTGTGAGGCATGTACACATGAGCATAATGCCCTCAGAAGCCAGAGGCATCACATCTTCTTGAGCTGAAGTTATGTGCAATTGTGAGCTGCCCAGTGTTGGTCCTAGGAACTGAACCCTGGCCATCTGCAAGAGCAGTATGTGCTCTTAACCAGTCTGCCATCTCGCCAGCCCAAAGTCAATAATTAAGCATTTTTGTTGTTGTTGTTTTTATTTTTCGAGACAGGGTTTCTCTGTGTAACAGCCCTGGCTGTCCTGGAACTTGATTTTTAGACCAGGCTGGCCTCGAACTCACAGAGATTCACCTGCCTCTGCCTTCCAAGTGCCGAGATTAAAGGCATGTGTCACCGCCACCCAATAATTAAACAATATTTTAAAAAGCAGATTTAACATGAACTTTAAGAATCTGCCCATGCCCATACCATGGTTTGAGTTGTTGCTTAATGGCACCAGGCAACATTTCTGTGCTGACTGTCTTGCTAGTGTGAAATCTGTCACGATGTAATATTTTCCTTGCACTAGGATAGTCTGTTTATTAGGGTTATTGAAGCAGAGGTCACAAGTAAGTAACTAACCATTCTCAGGACAACCTCAGTCTCTTGCTTTGCTTATATCTCCTTAGTAACTTCTTAGAATTGCATGCTGGCCGCATACAATGCTACAAGGCAGCTAAATTAGGCTGGGCTGTCCGCCTTGCTTCAGCCATTCCAATAGGCGGCCTGTGAGGGTGGGGGTGGGGCGTGGTTGAATAAACTGCCCAAATGGTACCTTCTTACTTCTTTGGAGAATACTCAATTCCAAGTTGTGACTTCTGGCCCAACACCCCTCCCCTCCAATTCTCTCCAGCCCAGCAATGGTCTAGAAGCAGAAGAATCTTGGTACCTTTTAAAATTTATTATGTGGTTTTCTTTTTCGGTTTTTTGAGACAGGGTCTCTCATATTCTGTAGCTCTGGCTGTCTTAGAACTCACTATGTAGACCAGGCTGCCTGAACTCACAAAGATCCACCTGCTTCTGCCTCCTGAGTGCTGGGATTAAAGGTGTGCACCATCACACCAAGCATTATTTATTTTCTTAAAGAAACAAATAAACAATTGTTTTTGGAAAATAGAATTTATGGATAGAATGTTGCTTATTATTTGTACATAAATAAAACCATTTCTAAAGTAAAAAAAAAATCTGCCCATGCCAACACTGAGTCTTTAACATTATGCTTTAAGAATATTCATCATATAAATTAGAAGTTATTATTTTTCCAGGATAATTAAATTAAATCATTGTAATTTTCCAGCATGCTTTTATGGAAATAAACTGTGACAATTGTAGAATTACAGAACCTTCATCCTCCCATCTCACTGTGTCTGTTGGCCAAGGCTTATTTTATTTCTCCTCTGAGTCAACTGTCCACCATATTTACATGCAGTGAAATGTCCTCTGAGATATAAAGTGAAAACCTGACTCCTGAGAAGGTGATAGTAATGTTTTCACCCTGTAGTACAAGACTCTAGGACAAATGTCTGAAGTCTTCAATAATTCTTCATGATTGTATGTGATGCACACAATATGAATCACTCGTGGTACAATCAATCTCTCTTTATCTTCTTCTTTCTTTCATCCTGCCTGCAGGAGCCACTCCATTCCCTGGGGATTCTGCCTCTTAGTGTAGACCCAGGATTCCCCTAGCTCTGTCACTCTGGTCTCTCTAGACTTACCCTTAGTCCTGCTGGAGCCTGCTGTTCAGAAAAACCCTATGAAGCCAATTTCCAACGGACTCAGTCTCTTCCTTCAGGGAGTGTGGGCTTATGCCTCCCATGTCCCTTAAAATTTCATTCACTGGGACTATTGCTTCCATTTGCTTAAAACCATTTCCAGATGTTTCTGTCCTCTCTTCCAGCACCCCTTGCAGATTAGGTTATGTCAAATCCATATTGTAGACAAAAAGATGGAGGCTCAGACAGCAGGCACCTTACCCTAAATTCATTGCTAATAAATGGCACCAACACTTAAATCTAGGTTTCCTTATCTGTTAAGTTAATTATTTTTCTGAGATATTATCTAGAACTGGATGCAAAGGAAATTAATTTCTAATCTATTTCCCTACAATTTTATATTACTCTAAAAATTATTCATCTTATTTCTTCTTAATACCTCTACCTAAAAACTAGGATAGTTCCCCCAAATATGATAGCATACATTAAACCCTTTATTATAATTAAAGAGAAGTAACATGAGTATGGTGTGTATACATATGCATATATATTTATGCTATACACACATATATGCTATAATTGGTATTTTAAGTTGCAAGTAAAACTAATTCTTTCCTATGGAATTTTAGATGAACAGGAGAGCTCATTGTATGAATATTTTCATTTAAAATACTCATAAACATTAGAAAATATATTTGGTACATGGGGAATACATCAGCTATTTGGCAAATTTTATGAATTGTGGGTTTGGATATCAACTTTCATAAGAAAACTTACTGCTTGATTATTTTATAGCATGGAATAATTTTTTAGAACATATTGAAGAAAAAAGATTCATTCATATATATACATTTATACACATACATATATGTATGTATATATACATTGACATTCAAAAAGTCACACTAAAGTGAATTTTTAATAATAGTTTTTCAGGGATAAAACTAGTTAAATGATCTGTGATATATTTGACTTACATTTTGTTATAAAAAGAGCTACTTTCTCATAAACATGATAACATAAATTGTCTCGGCACTGAAAATATATGAAGTGGAACATATGTTGAATTTAAGTATTTGCTTTGGTGAGAAATTAGGATTCATGTCCTACGCTTTCAATCTTTTCAAGAAAAGGTCCAGAGCAACTCAATCTTTTTCCCTTACTTATATTTGCATGTGTACATCTTGAACTAAATACCCAACAGGTAAGACTAGACTAGGTAAATCTAGTGGATTTATGTTCAATTTTATAACTGAAACAAGAACGTAATAAATTACTTTGACTAGTCTCAAAGGATTTCTCTGTTCTCTGAAATGTTTTCTTACAGTAAAACTAATTCTTTCTGTGTTTTCTAGCCCCTAGATTATGAAGCCATGAAGAATCTGCAACTTAGTATTGGTGTTCGAAATGTAGCTGAATTCCATCAGTCAATTATTTCTCAATATAGACTCACAGCAACTATGATCACTGTGACTGTGTTAAATGTAATTGAGGGCTCAGTGTTCCGGCCAGGTTCAAAGACATTTGTAGTAAACAGTAAAATGGGAGCAAATTACAAAGTGGGAGACTTTGTAGCTACCGACCTGGACACTGGTCTACAGTCAACAAATGTTAGGTAAGAATGGCGTTTTCCAACTAAAGTCATAATCTTAGGGGATCATGAGAAGGGAAGAAGAAATCTTAAGGGAGAGGGAAGGGAAGGTAATGGAGTGCATGTGACATGGAAGTAAGAACTATGGGAGGGTGGGAACCAGCAGAGGACGGCAGGAGGTCTGAGGTGGGCAAAGGGAAGAAGGATGCATGAGAACAAAGTGTGTGACACATACGTATGAAAAGATACAATAAATCCATTATTTTGTATACTAACTAGCCTTAAAAATAATGTTACAAAGTCTCTTTTTAAAAGATAGCTTTAGTTTCTATTGTATTCTTTGAATACAGATATGTAATGGGAAATAACCCGGCTGACCTCCTGGCTGTTGGCTCAAGAACAGGCATAATAACTTTAAGAAACAGAGTTACTATGGAACAATACCAAATGCTTAATGGGAGATATGAAGGAACAATACTATCAATAGATGGTAAGAAAACACTTTAATTTTGTTAATTTGGATAAGGGCTTGTCTATCTTGTTGACAAACTAGTGGAAACCCATGAACTGTGGACTGATAGCTATGGAGCCCCCATAGGGCTAGAATAGGCCCTCTGGATATGGGAGACAGTTGTTTAGTGTGAACTGTTTGGGGGGACACCCAGGCAAGGGGATCGGGATTCATCCCTGATGCATGGATGGGCTTTTTGGAGCCCAGTGCCAAGGATGTGACACCTTGCACAGCCTTGGTGCAGGGGGAGGGGCTTGGACCTCCCTCAGCTGAGTGTACCAAGCTCTGCTGACTCCCCGTGGGAGAACTTGATTTGGAAAATGTGGGGATTGAGGGGTGGGTTGGGGGGGAAAACTAGGGGGTGGGGAGAAGGAAGAGGGGGATCTGTGGTTGGTATGTAAAGTGAATAGAAAATTTCTTAATAAAAAAAGAAAAAAAAAGAATCTTTGCAACAAACTTCCACTAGAGTATGTCCTAAAGTCTTCACTGCAGAGGTTTAAACCCCATATTTAAAGAGTTGGAGTACTATAAACACTGGCCACACAGAATCTGAATAGACCTGTCTTTATGGGCACAGCCCTAAATCCCAGTCTGTTAACTTAACATCCTAACATTTTCTTTAATTACAAAATAAACATATTTCTATTCTTCCCCCCCCCCATGAAATCAATTTTACTTCCTTCCAGGGGAGACCAAATATTCTCAGATAATTTAAAAATTACTATCCTATTGTAAAGAAATCCCCCTTTCAATAAAAGTTGTCATGTTGAACACTGTATGCTCAAACTATGAGTAGCAAGGAGCTAAGACCGTGAAGAATGTAGTGAGACTGGGTGGCTGTCACGTCCCCTCATCTACTGATTATTGAATCTTATAGAAGCCATCGCACCCATCTATATCCCAGTTTTCTGCAAAATGGGTCAATAACAATATATGCTAATAATGATAAAAATAGCAAAGCATGTAACAATAGCATGAACATCACTGAATGAATGAGGATAGCCTTTGAGGTCAGATAAGCAGACTTAGAACTATGCCTGTTGCACATCTCCAGAGATTTCATTTCTTTTATTCAGAAAGTATTATTGAGTCTTAATTAAATAGGTGCCAGCCTTTGTGCCAGACTCTAGGGCTGTGTCTGTGAAAGTAAGGTTCATGGCTTTGCAATAGCACAAACCAAGCTCAACTCATTTCCTTATTCTTATCTGATAATCCCACTTCCAATAATCTTTGGGAATGTGCTAAATATAGAAGGCTGGTTGCACAGAGATGCTAACACAGCACTGACTTCACCAGGTACTATTGAAAAAATAGCCGCAGGTAACTGAGTAAGGAAAACTTAGTTTGCTACAAAATTGTATACCCATCAGGAACTATGTTAACCAAATGTGTACTTAAGCATGAAAGAGTGAGTACAATTTAAAGAAAAAGTACTCTCAAATCCCATTCAAGTAGAATGAACCATAAGATCATACCAATGTACCATAGATAAGTAGCATAAGCCTTATCCCTAAGGACAACTGATCATGAAGGAATCTACAAAGTTATCCTTGTGGTTAGCTTCTGGTTGTGACTCACATCTGTCTGTGTTTTTGCATTATTCAACTTAGATGTAATATCAAACTTGCAACACTATAAACTATCCAGAAGACCGTATTGCTGGTGATAATGATTAGGTTAGTTATAATGCAATCATTGACTGGCTTAAAAACCGAGTAGAAGAACTAAGGAGAGAGACTGATTGGTAAGAGTCTCCAGAACCCCCACAAAAAGCTGGGCATGTTGGTGGACACTTGTGATCTCAATGACAATGGGGAGGTGATGCCTGAGACTGAGTCTTTTGCTGGCCAGTCAGCCCAGCCTTTACTCTGGGAGTTTCAGGCCCCTGAGGATCCACAAGTGAGGTTGTCCCCCATCCACACACAATCACACATGCACGACAGTCACACAGACTGACTGGAAAGCTACTGAGTTGATGCGATTAAAGACAGGAACAAGCTGAGGTGGGAAAAGAAAGGGGTTCTGGATTTCTGACAATTCCTAGGCTGTGTACAGATGACTATTTCCATTGTGAACCTTGTTACAGATAGTCTCCAAAGGACCTGCACCGGAACAGTCATCATTGATCTTAGTGGCTCTGGCTGGGTGACAAGCACAGATCAAAATACAGAAGATGGAGGCAGTACAGGAGGTGGAGGCAGTACAGGAGGTGGAGGCAGCACAGGAGGTGGAGGCAGCACAGGAGGTGGAGGCAGCACAGGAGGTGGCACAAGTGGAAATACTTCCACTGAGCAAACTACAGGATCATGGGACAATGGTGGCAGTGGCGGAAATGGCGGCACTGGTGATGATACCTACGATAATGGTGACGGTAGCCGTCAAAGAGTCCCTGGAGACAACGTTCACTTTGGTCCTGCCGGGATCGGGCTGCTCATCATGGGGTTCTTAGTCCTAGGATGTAAGTACTTCAACACTTATTTTGACATGGGCCTCTCAAAAAAGATGGGAAAAGAAATAAGATTTTTCACTCCTTGATGGAATATATTTTACATCCTCTTACATTATGTAGTTATCCAGAAATGTTTGTGCCAGGTATTGAATTTACTGGGAGGAAAAAAACTGCATATAAAAAGCCAAGAGCATGAAAGGCATGGCATTGAAATAGATAACTCCCATGGTGAAGAAATAAAGGTTGTGCCTGACTGTGCTGTGGGATAATGCTCTTGTACACTGGTTTAATAAAATGCTGATTGGCCGGTAGCCAGGCAGGAAGTATAGGCAGGGCAAGCAGACTAAGAGAATTCTGGGAAGAGAAAGGGCCCAGGAGTCCCGAGCCAGACACAGAGGAAGCAAGATGACAAGGCAGAACTGAGAAAAGGTACTAAGCCACATGACTAAACATAGATAAGAATTATGAGTTAATTTAAGTGTTAGAGCTAGTCAGTAATAAGCCTGAGCTAATGGCCAAGCAGTTATAAGTAATATTAAGCCTCTGAGTGATAATATTATGCCAGGCTGGACCCGAGAAACCTTCTGCCTACAACTGTGTAGTAAAGAATCAGTCTAGGAAGTCAGGCTGAATCCTGCGGGATCTCAGGCAATGCAGGGTTGCAAAATTTAATGAAAAGAACCAAACAGGACAAGTGCTCAACTTAACAATATATATCTTCTAAGGATTACCTAAGCATTCCGAGTTTTGCTATTCTTGCAAAATAATTACCACTGCTTCCCTCACAACACCACTAGTTGATGGAAAGCTGCTACAGGAGCCTTAGTCATGGACAGAAATACAAACATAGAGTCTAATGGATGTTTCAGGTGAACTTTAACATTGCCCTGGATTATGATGGAAACGAGTGGAAATGGGGTAGTATCTTGAAGCTTACATAATGTCATTAAGTTAACACAAATGTTGACATTTGCAACTATGTATGGCCGCACACATCTGCCATCCAGGGAGTTAGGAGGTTGAGGCAGGAGGATCATTAGTTTGAAACAAACCTGAGATATATGCAGCAAAACTCCAAATAAACAAATACGAAAACCGAAAATTGCCCTTTTCAAGTGTAGAATCATAAAATCCTGGTAGTAAAATATGTCTCACATATTTAATTAATTATTCACAAAATGTACAATGAGATAACTCATATACAAAATTTTTAAATATTTTTTCTGCCTTCATTTCTCTCATTTCAAAAAAAAATATACATATTTTTACTTTAGGTATATGAGTGTTTTGCCTACATGTATGAAAACTTTATTAACCATGTGGGCCTGGTGCCTGCAGAGGCCATAAAGGGTGCCAGGAATCCCTTGGAACTAAAACTATAGGTGGTTGTGAGGCACCATGTGTGCCTGGTAACAGAACCTGGGTCCTCTGCAAGAGCTCTTAGCCACTGAGCCCCCTCCCCAAATACTCTTCTTTTCTCTTAATGAGTAAAAGCTACAAACAGATACTGCTTCACTAGGTTTTCTCTGACTTTAACTCACCTTCGGAAACATTTCATTGACATAGATCCATTTAAACCACAGAGAAATTTGGTCACACTAAAGAGAACTTTAGTTCAAAGTGCTCAAAGTTGAGCACTTTCTCTAGAATTTGAAATACATTTCAAAAAATGAACATTCTGGGTTAAGTAACAGAAATTCATCCCTACTGGCTCATAGTAAATAGAAGTAAGGACCAGGAAAAGTTCCATGAGAAAGATAATGAATTGAAAAATACACTTTAGCCGGGTGGTGGCGGAGCACACCTTTAATCCCAGCACTCGGGAGGCAGAGGCAGGCAGATCTCTGTGAGTTCAAGGCCAGTCTGGGCTACAGAGTGACATCCAGGAAAGGCGCAAAGATATACAGAGAAACCCTGTCTCGAAAAACCAAAAAAAAAAAGAAAAGAAAAACACATTGTTTCATCAAAATGAACCAAATAAAGAAAGATGTGAGCATGAGGACTGGAATGAGAACTCCGCATGAGCACAGATCATCTTCTGCAATTTGTAGTCAACTCTTCGTTCTATTAAAAGCAAACTAATACCTAAGAGCTGATGGGGACCACTCCAAGTAATAGCTAACTTTCAGTTTCAGTTTCCTTAATACCAGTGTCCAATATCAGACAGTATGGCTCATAAAGGCTTTCAATGTTATACAAAAGCCTTTGGGTTAATAACTCTTCTCTCAGCTTTACAGATTTCCAAAAAGAGCAAAACTCATCCAATTCTTTGCCTTCTCTCTTTTTCCTATCCTCCATCCACTCCTCCCTCTGTCCTTCTCTGTTTCCTTCTACTATTTACACATCCTTTCTTTCTATCCACTCTTTCAAAATGATCCAGCAAGATCCTCTGACCATAGTAAACATGTGAGTGAAAGCCTCAAACAGAATAGGAAGAAAAGACATTGCTAAAGGGATAGTCTCTATTTATGTGAGAAATGTTTAAAGAAAAGATGTCTCTGTGGGGAAAAACAATAACCTTCACGAAGACAATTAAGTAATTAAACAAGATTTCCCCTTAAAATAGAGAAAGAAAAATGTATGAGAATGGAAAAGTAAGTAGAGGCTTGAGAGATCAAAAGTGATGCCTGAATTAACTTCCTTTAGTCTCTGTTGTCCTCTGAGTAATGCTAGGGAAAAGAATCAACACTTTAATCATAGGATTTTATCTGTAATTTTAATACTATGAGACAAATTAAAATTCACTACAGTCTGGTGGTTCCAAGATCATGCTTATTTGGGTGTCTGACTATTATTAATTTGTTGTCCTGGCATTTAAAATAGTAATTTTAAATTCAGACAGCTCAGGAGTTCTCATCTAACGATTGAAAATCAGATTGTTCTCTTTTAACACAGCCCACTACTAACCCCTTACCTCTCTCTCTTCCTCAGTGGTCCCATTCTTGTTGCTCTGCTGTGATTGTGGAGGTGCCCCTGGTGGTGGAGCTGGCTTTGAGCCTGTTCCAGAATGTTCTGATGGTGCAATTCACACATGGGCAGTAGAAGGCCCACAGCCTGAACCCCACGATGTAAGTGCTAATCTGTAAGAATGGGATTTGGGGACTCACAAAAACCCAGTCTCCAGACATGCCCTAAGATGGTGGAAATCATTCAGTCTACACTATTCTTGGTTCTTGGGTAGTGAATGAGGAAAGCAAGAGGAGCAGAAGGTACATCAAGACTCCGTAGAAGTCACCAGGGAAGGCTTAAACATGAGATTCAACTTTCAAGTAGAATTCAGAAGCTTCCTACATAGTATTCTTTTAGGAATTCTGTGATAATTTTAGAATAAGACTATATTCCAGCAGAGAAAGAAAAGCCTCGTTACTAATAGGAAAATGTTGTCTCTTGTCTTTTAGGGTATAACTACTATCTGTGTGCCACAAATGCCACCCGGTAATGCCAATATTATAGAGTGTATTGACAACTCAGGTAAGCAAAAGAGGATGACTCAGTTTTGTCTTCTTTTGTTTTTTTTACTTTACTTACTCATTTTTACAGAGAAAAATACATTCATTTTTGGCAGAAGTATAAACACTGACCTATAAAACATTTGTCAAAATTCTTAAATTGAAAGCAAATAGACAAAACACTTTTAAAACCTTCCAAAGCCCTCAACTATGGTTGTGCACAGATGGGGGAATTTCTCCTTGCATGGTATTAAGACTGGATATCAACAACTCATCTTGAACCAATGTCTGGAGTAATTCCCAAGGAGAAACCAGGAAGCTACTACTGTAATAAAAAGAACAAGTAAAATAACTTCTTCTGTCAATAGAAACGGTCTTACTACTTTATATTTTTAACAGTAAATGTTACTTATTTCTTTAGTTTTCTTTTAACCTTTTGAGCAATTATTACTTTTTAAGACTTAGTTATTTTTATTTTATGTGTATGAGTGTTTGCCTACTTGTATATCTGTGCACAATGTGTGTGCAATGCCCTCAGAGGCCAGAAGAGGACATTAGATTCTTTGGAGCTATAGTTAGTTGTGAGTTGCTATGTGGGTGCTAGGAACCAAACCCAGGTCCTCTGCAAGAGCAGCCAGTGTTTTTAACCAATGCGCCACCTCTCCAGCCCCTATATAATTACTTTTCTACTTTGAATGCTATAAAATGCATCAGACATAGGAATGTTTCTATTTTGTAGAATTTGATTCAATAGTCTGCATATCTCCTGTACAAGAGATCACTAGTCCCATTTCTCATCATGTGTTCATTTTTGTTAGTGTTGCCAATATCTCCTCATGCAGAAAATAGAAACTCACTGGATCACATCTGCCCCATTAGTCTGCTGTTAGTTACAGAGACCCATCAATTCATCAAAATCATCAATATTTATTTATGCTTTGGTTCTTTCATTAAGTCTATGAATTTTCACACAAGTCCTAAAGTAGCACGGAAGGCATCAAGATAATCGGAATATGAAAAGTACTTTTCCCTCAAACTCAAATTAAAATGCTGTGCCATGGGGCATGCATCCTATTGTTTCTTTCTTTCTTTCTTTCTTTCTCTTTTTTTTTGTATTTGTGAGGTTTTTTGGTTTTGGTTTTTGTTTTTTTTTTGCATTTTTTTTTTTGAGACAGGGCTTCTCTGTGTAGTTTTGGTGTCTATCCTGGATCTCGCTCTGTAGATAAGGCTGGCCTCGAACTCACAGAGATCTGCCTGGCTCTGCCTCCCAAGTGCTGGGATTAAAGGCATGCACCACCACCCTCCGGCTGTTTCTTTTTTTTTTATTGTTTCTTTCTTAAGAAATTTTTTATTCATTTTACATACCAACCACAGATCCCCTTCTCTTCCCTCCTCCCATCTCCTAGCCTTCCTCCCCCCAACCCACCCTCCATTCCCTCCTCTAACAAGGTAAGGCCTCCCATGGGGAGTCAGCAGAGCCTGGTCCATTCAGTTGAGGCAGGTCCAAGCCCCTCCCCCTGCACCAAGGCTGTGCAAGGTGTCCCACCATAGGTAGTGGGCTCCAAAAAGCCAGCTCAGCACACATCCTATTGTGAATCCCCCACTTCTGTCCACCTTTTATTTCACTCCCTCAAGCATGTGGCATGCTTCTTCCCACTTTTCACATCCAAGTGCTTATCCAAGACATTTCCAGAAACCTTTCTTCTCATTGTTAACTATGACCTCTTTTGGAAACCCAGTGGCCCTTACTCCTTCTACAGGATGCCATGTGCATCCAGGAATGCATTGTGGGTGTACTGGTACCATTATTATATTTAACTTTTAGAAATAGAGCTACTTAACTCAATTTAATGCAGTCTGAGATCAAACTATTCAGTCCACAAATTTTTACTGTTTCATTTCACTTCTATCAGTGCATCATATAGAAAAGATGTCAACAGAAGATAAAATTAGCAAACTTATTAGTATTGTTTTTATTAATAATAATTTTAAAATAATATAATTATCCATTTTTGTGCATCATCTTCTTCTCTTCCCTGCTCATAAATACAACCTTGAATAGAGAAACTATACATGAGAGTAAATTAGCTTTTAGCTTGCACTATACTAAAAAAATCAAATTTGATGTGTTCAATGCTTTTAGGAGTTTATACAAATGAGTATTGTGGCAGAGAAATGCAAGATCTGGGAGGAGGAGAAAGAACTACAGGATTTGAACTGATGGATGGAGTTAAAACATCAGCCGCACCTGAGATATGCCAAGAATATTCAGGAACGTTAAGAAGAAATTCAATGAGAGAATGTAGAGACGGAGGTCTCAATATGAATTTCATGGAAAGTTACTTCTGTCAGGTAAGGCTTTTAGCCACATGCTTTTCTCTCTATCCACCATATTCCAAGCTTTCACCGACTCCCCGGAGGGCCTCGACAGCAGTCTTATTTTCATGCCCAACAGCCCCTGCTTGACGCTGAATGTTTCTGAAGCTCTGACTGGACAGCATTTTACTCCTCCACTTAAATTCTGCCAATGGCTCTCTTTTGTCTCTAGTACGGAGTCCTAAATCACGGTTCAGGTGCCACCTTAGAGCTCCATCCACCCCTCAGCATCAGCTCACTTGCCTTATTCGCTGCCAACTGCTCGCCTCGAACCTCTGGTTATTCTGGTCCACTCTGGGATGCTGTGTGTTGTTGTTGTTTATGTTTCTCATCCCTCCTCTCTCACTCATTCCTACCCACCTTTCAAGATTCGGTTCAAATATCGCCACCTCACAGAAGCTTTAGCAGTGAACTCTCTCATCCAGAACAGGAGCCACATTTATTCCACACTTTGTTGTGTTTTCTTTTTAACACAGTTTATAAAATTTATCGTTGCTAAAAATTTGTTAGTTCGTGTGTCTACTATTTTTAATTCCAACCCATGAATTATTTACATGATATTGCCAAGTAAAACCTGAATCCAGAATCAAATTGTTCTGTTTTACAAAAAAAAAAATCAAAACTAGTATCCAGAATCACCGCATCACCTTGCCTAAGTGAGAGAAAATGTAATCTTTCATGAACCTGTCAACTGTAAATACCCCTTTGGACCAAACACGGTTCCTCCCACTAACTTTTTTGTGCCCTCCTTCTAAATAGACATGTGTGAATTTTTGTATGTGATTTTTATGTTCAAAGTGCACTATTTTAAGCAAGTTCATCTAAAGAAAATTTTAAAGATCAAAATGTACTGGAATTATAGCTAAAATAACTTTGAACTGAATTCTTTCAAGCACCTATGAAATCGTGTTTAAAGTAATTCTAGTGAATATTAGAATTTAGATACATTCAGCTCTAAAAAACGTTGTTACTGTTTGTTTTATTTTTCTCTTTCCTGTACAAATTCAGAAAGCTTATGCTTATGCGGATGAAGATGAAGGACGCCCATCCAACGACTGTTTGCTCATCTATGACATTGAAGGTGTAGGTTCCCCTGCAGGCTCCGTGGGCTGTTGCAGCTTCATTGGAGAAGATTTAGATGAGAGCTTCCTGGATACCTTGGGGCCCAAGTTTAAGAAGTTGGCCGACATCAGCCTGGGAAAAGATATAGACTCATATCAAGGTCCCGAGCCTTCTTGGCCTCCTCAGAGCACTGAACCAGTGTGCCCCCAGCAAACAGAGCCCCTTACTAGTGGACACCCACCCATCTCCCCACATTTTGGCACTACCACAGTAATTTCTGAGAACACCTACCCCTCTGGCCCTGGTGTACAGCATCCTATGCAGATTCCTGACCCTCTAGGCTATGGTAATGTCACTGTGATGGAGTCATATGCCACCTCTGGCACTCTGAAGCCCTCTGTCCACTTTCATGATAACAGACAGGCTTCAAATGTGGTGGTGACAGAGAGGGTGGTGGGCCCCATCTCTGGTGCTGATTTGCATGGGATGTTAGAGATACCCGACTTAAGAGAGGGATCAAATGTCATAGTGACAGAAAGGGTAATAGCCCCAGGCTCAAGTCTACCCACCTCTCTGACCATTCCCAACCCTAGAGAGTCTTCAAATGTGGTTGTGACAGAAAGAGTGATCCAACCAACTTCCACCATGATGGGCAACCTGAGCATGTCCCCTGAGTTATCAAATGCCCACAACGTGATTGTGACAGAGAGGGTGGTTTCTGGTGGCGGTGTAAGTGGAATTAGTGGCACCGCTGGGATAGGTGGCGGCATTGGAGGTATAGGCAGCAGCGGCCTGGTGAGCACAACCATGGGTGCTAGTGGCGGGGGTCTGAGTGGGTCTGGCGGTGGCACTGGGCTGAGCGGCTTTAGTGGAGGTGGGGGCCTGAGCAGCATGGGTGGGACAGCCACTATCGGCCACATGAGGAGTTCTGACCATCACTTTAGCCAGACAGTTGGATCTGCCTCCCCTAGCATGGCTCGAAGTCGAATAACGAAGTATAGTACGGTACAGTATACCAAGTAGTCAGGGTCCCAGAGTACTGTTCACCATCATCACTGTGATTTACATTCGACTCCTGCCCCCCAAATCTAACAGAACAAATTATGATGCAGAGCAGGTTAGAGGAGACCTGGAGAGTAAGGTGAGGAGCCACAGTGAGAGCAACAAATGGCAACATCGCAAGGGGGATCGCTCCCTAGCATTGGTAAACCTTTTCTTGCGTTAACACTAATGAAATAATGACAGTGAACTTGAGGCACAGTCTTATTTGTGGCTATGTGGTCTACAGGGTTGGTTTTTGTTTGTTTATTTGTTTAATCTGTGTGCCCTGTAGGATATCACCAGCATGTTGAATAAATAAAATGTGGTTATGAAAAGCATTGGCTTTAAATGGGAACTGGAAGGATTCTTCTTAATGTTCAGAAATTAACCAAAAAGATTTGAATGTGTTGCTTGTGCTCCCTGAGGTGAGGAAAATCTGACATTTTCTTCACATATACTTTGTCTTTCACAGGTAATACAAATTAAAAACCCTCCCCCAGATTCAGGCCAAGGCTAATGAAATTCTAACTACATAGTTAAATCTATAAGACTCCAGTTATTCTCACCTTGACCACATCTAAACTGCACTTAATGGAATAATTTTCAAATTAAGAAATATGTCCTAGGAGGAAACCCACAGACAGAAACAATAGAGGGAGCCTGATCTCAAGCTGGAGTTTCAGGAATGCCTGTGGAGTCAAGGACTTTGCAGGTTCCGGTTGTGTTTCATAAGTATGGTTGTGAAGAATCTTGCTTACTGGGGAGGATATAGGGCACAATGCTCATTTTTCTCTTTACCACTGTAGTCGTGAATTAATAATAAAGGAAAGTTGCCAAGTTTACATTAGACTAAAGCAAGCGACCATGATGTGGCTGCCCTCACCAGTGTTAAATTACCTCCTAAGTACACAGACGGGGCAGTATTATATCTTCAGTCTAAGCAGTAAGTGACACTCTATTCTATGCAGGCCTTTAGTACATAATTCCAAAGATAAAATAGTTTGCTTATGCTGAGCTGTGGGGCGGGGTGGGTGGGGCACCTGCAGTATGGCTAAGCTTTGGGGTAAATTTTTAAGGGATCTGAAGGGGGAAAAACCCTGTTTTTAGAACATGAAAACTGTCTTGAGTGGGGAATGTTGGAAAAGAATTGTTTGTTCAGTAAAGGAATGGCAAACTATTATATATAATTGAGTTTAGTGTTTTTCTTTGATGGCCCTCCACTGTCAATTCGAAGTGATTAACCAGGACCCTTTACCAGAATTCATGTTACTTTGGAAAGAATAAAATAGTCACTAGACAAACCCATTCCTCAACTAAAATTTTTCATGCACATAACTTTGAAATTCTTCATTTGATTTGTCAATAATCTCCTGGCTTCTAAGTGTTCTGACTTAAAGACAGTTTACAAGTTATAGTATGATATATTTTTCTAGCTTTGAAATTTAGTAATGTGCTATTTATGATGTGTTGTTTCTGTTTGCCATATGGTGTTACCTGATTTAAAATCTCTCAGAGGAATCATAGCCTTCTAAGAGACAGTTGCATTTACTATATTACAAGGTAGAGGAATCTTTTCTTGTTTTTAAATTCAAAGTTAAAATAAGCACACTAAAGTGAAATGGGACATGGCAAAATAAAAATAGAGAAAATACTGGCCCTAGAGTTGTGAATTTTTTAATTCACAACTTTAAGATTTTTTTTTAAAGATTTTTTTTTTCTCCTCACTACCCATTTCTCAGGTTGTTACAGCATCCTTATACAACTTCCAGCACTTGTCAAAGACCTGGGAGTGATTGATTAATCCAGCAAGAGTACTCTGTTCTGTATAAGAGCAGATGCAGTGAATGTCTTAAAAGCCATAATATGTCTAATTTTAACTGTATAGAACATGTAAAATTTTGCTAACTTGTAGCATGCCAAAATGCAGAGGTATAAATAAAGTCACTCAAAGAGAGTCTTTCTCTTATTTTGTTTTAACATTTAGGGTAATGCACTGAAGATATGTAATTTTTTAAAAAATAAACTCAAAAGGTATTTGTTGAAATATACTTGAAGATGCATTGGTTTGGAAATTTGAACACATAGAAATAATGTAATTTTACTTCTAACTTCATCCAAAGGAAAGAACTCTGGCTACAGAAAGTAGTGTACTATATCCTTGTATCTTTACTTAGATACATGATGAATTCCAAAGATTTTGGGGGGTTGTCTAACAATTGACAATAAGACCATCTTTAATAAATGTGATTAGCATTCATCAGTTGTATAAGACCTGGGAAAATAAAATTTTAAATGGAGAACTTGTCTCCCATCTTCCTAGGAAAAGTAACTCCAGATCAAACCATTTCTTTCAGGATTATACAATGGTGCATTGTTTAGTCCTGCATCCTATAATACTTTAAAAAAATCATTGCATCATTGAAAGGTAGTTGCTCATGAATGGCCTTTGGGCAGGACTTTGCTCCTCTCTTTCAGTGATTTAATCTGAATCACAGGTGTTATTCCACAGATATAGGACAGAGGTGAGATTCATAAATTAGGCTGAATCTTAAACTCACATAATTTCAACCAAAGGAAAAATAAATAAATAGCAACGTAGTGTTATTTGTGTGTGGTTTGAAAATAAATCACAATACAACATCTGGTTTTCTGAAAAGGTAGTCCCTAGGGACAGAAAAAAGATATGTCACAAATTCTTTATTGTTGAATATGAACCAAATGACATGCACGACTGATTTTGACATACAACTCCAGAAATGTCTATTGTGTGCTATTTACCTCCATGAGTGTTGTGGGACACACTACATTTGCACAGAAAATTTTGCAGAAAAAGTATTTTTTGGGGATTCTTGATATAAGTTAATCTGGACATCTGTTCAGCATTATGTATAAAGATTGTAGTGTTCTATTTCACTCAGCGTAAAGTGCTAACAGAATTTTAATTATGCATCTTCAAAAATCATACTTCTGTATTTAGATGCTTTCAGTTACACCATTTACTTCTGAATTCATGCCAAGATTTTGTTAACAGCTAAGGCACATTTTGCATGACTTTAATGGAACCCTTAAAAACATTATAGTCTCTTTCAGAAAGACACTGAATATCCAAGTAAACTCCCAAGTGCTTAGCACACTTTTCCATGTGCATAATAAGCCCTAGCCTGTGGGATAGTCCTGGTGTTTTAGACTCCACCACACATTGCCCTGGGGTATTCATAATATAGCTCTCACACCCATGCAACTCAGTCTGCCCTCTGCCTCCAGATTACTCAGGTTTTTGTTGGTTTGGTTTGGTTTGGGTTGGGTTGGGTTGGGTTTTTGTTTTGGATTTTTGGGTTTTTTGGGTTTTTTGACACAGGGTTTCTCTGTGTAGTTTTGGTGCCTGTCCTGGATCTTGCTTTGTAGACCAGGCTGGCCTAGAACTCATAGAGATCCGCCTGGCTCTGCCTTTGGAGTGCTGGGATTAAAGGCATGTGCCATCACCACTCGGCAGATTACTGAGTTTTTGTTAGGACAAGGCTTGAGTAGATCATACTGACATCCACCAAATACTTTAAAGTGATGAATATTTTATTGTTAAATTCTCTATATTCCCTTCTATTTAACTGTATTTGCATAAATGCTTTATGACCAATGTGTACTTACTTTAACATATTTTTCTTACACTGTTTTCCAAGCATTTTAATTTCTCATATCCACCTTTTTCAGTCTTTAAACACAAAGTGCTTTCTTTCACGATAAACCTTTGGGGATGATAGGGCTGTTAGTTCCTTGCTTCATCATCTGTTGACTATTTTAAGACAGTTTGTAATTTCTGAATAGTTGTGTTTACAACAATAAAATGATTGATATGCCTCCATTGTCTTTCTGGAATTATATGGTTGGGGAGATTTTAGATTAGAAGAAATAATTAAAGTGTATCAAATCCAGTTATTATTTTAATTCCACATTCAAGGAGATCATTATGTTACTGTCACAATATTTACATATGTTTTCATTCTCCTTTGCTTAGCTTCCTTTCTTTCTGTGTCTACTGGAAGGCATGTCCTTCCCAATACTGCCTCGTGACAACACAGAGCAGCCATCACCAGGAAGCTAGCCACACTCAGGAGTACAGTTGAAAGCAATAATAAGACTTGCATTTAGACTCTCTAAGGGACAGTGCTTCTCTTATAGGACATATTTCTGTAAACAAGAAGGCTAAAACAGCAGTAACCCACTCTTAAGGCCAAAGTGTATTTGACACCCTCCCCTCAAGCCCTGGCATTTTCTGGGAGTCTCACTAATGAGATTATTAGCTTTGTGGATAGTGAAGGTACCCTAGTTTTCTGCAACTCTGCCATCTACACTTCCACCTCAGCATTTGGAAGCCTATGAGGTGGCCCCCAGAAACCACCCACTGATTTCATGGAAATTCCTTAGCAACCATTTAAGACAATAACTTCACAAATGACCCAAATCCTGCCTATTACTGTTGTAAAGACCATGGAGTACAGCTCTTCTCTGAGAAGCCGAGAGCCATCCTCTCGAGGATAGCTCATTTTTTCCCTCTGTCTGTGAACTGACATTCTTAAATCTGTTTAAAAATGTCTTTTAATAAACTTCAGCTCTGTTTCGTACTGACTCATCTTTAAATTGTTTTCTGTGACAAAACCAATCATCAGGCGTAATTACCCTGGATGGCAAATCTTGGGGGACATTTGACATTCTGCCCCTGGCCCAGTAGACTGGTGGCCAGCTCATAGTGGAGGATGCTTCATTGCAGCCTCCAGAGTCTCCATAGCCTTCCTTACCTGTGTGTTTGGGCTGACTTTTTATGTCTCTTATTAAAATATACCAATTATACATAAGAATGGGTTTCATTATGGTATTTTCATACATATGTATAGTGTTTTCAATCATATTTAACCCTCCTCCAATTTCCCTCTCTAGCTCCAATCCCACTCTCAGCAATCTCCTTCCTCCTCTCCTCTAGCTGTGTG